GCTCCCGATAACAGATGGTCACGCAAGCCCTTCCATTGATGGAAAGCCTTGTTGCATGCGGAACATACTGGTAAGCCGTCCTTAGAATGCCGACTTCGATCAAAGGAGGGAGGAATGTACCTCTGTACGTGTTCGCGATGCATCCTTGTGATGTGCATATGTAAGCCATGGGCAGAGACGAAGCCAGATTCGCAGTGAGGGCAGGTGTGTAGCCGCTGCTGCGAGGCCTCGGTGCTCGCCGGAAGGTTTGCCACCTCTTGCAGCATGTCTTGTAAGTCCTGTATGACATGGCCTAGGCGCGTGACATCACCCTGCACAGCTGTCTCAGAAAGGTGTGGGCCTGTGGCCGAGTCCGGCGCTGTGGAGCGCAGCCTGGCCCATGGGCCATGTTGCACCGTAGGTGCACTGGGAGTGCTCTCCGGCTGGGCGGAAGTGGCGGCCTCGGGGGTTGGGATGTCGGTTCGTTTACACAGCCTTCTGAGTCTGGAGGCCATCCGAGCTTGGATTTTAGCCACCGGGTCCTGAATCGAATACAGCTGGTACAGGTCAGCTGTTGAGATGTGGCTGACGTGGACAGGCTGATTAAGCACGGAGCGTAGCTTGTGCGCGTACCAACCTCTGAGATGCCTGGCTGTCTCCTCCGTGAGGCCGACTTCAGGAAGTCCCGTGACCAAGGTAGCCCATACAGTAGTGAACCAGACTTTCAGTCTGGCCATTGGCCCCGCGGTTCTGCGGTTGTAAACAAAACGCTTAACCTGCTGGAGCTTTTTGGCAGCCTCCGCTATACGGAATCGCAACGTCTGCATTTCAAAATTCCCATAGGAGATTTGAATGCCCAAGTACTTGAGTTGCGTCTCAAGCTTGTAGGCAGGGAAGGACTTGTGTTTGCCCAGTCTCCAGTGCCTCTGGAGTTTTCCGTCCTGGTCAGGGAGCCAGCAGGTGTGCTTCTGGAGCGTGGCCTCTGCCTCTCTGCCGCTGAGCTTGACGAGAATGGCACATTTGGTCGGATTGACTCGCAGGCCTAGTTTCGCTACCTCCGACAAAAGCTGGAGGATCATCTTGTGAGCTGCGTCCACGTCCGCTTTGTTGCGGATGGTGCGATGCATGGTGAAGTCATCCGCGTACCCTGTGAAGTATTTGCGGACATTGTCCCAGCCAAATGTGCTTATCAGCCTGTGCAGGAGGCGGCCTGTGAGCACAGAAAACAACGTGGGGGCCAGCTTACAGCCTTGTTTGATGCCTGTGGTAGTTTCCACATCCTTGTAGGCCCCTTGAGAATGGAGCCTGTACTTGGATCGATGATGTAGGCCGTGTATCAGTTTTTGTAGGGGTGGATCCGCGCCTAGTTCATCTAGCAGAGACAAGATTTCGCTGCGGGAGACAGTATCGAATGCCTGTGACAGGTCAAGTGCAAAGGTGATGCCTCCGACAAGACCGACAGGACATTGTCCCCGCTGCTGATCCGCTCTGGTGAGATTCGCATTGCGACACAGCTGCCTAGCTTCCCTCAGGTGCTGTACCACTCTGCTCTGAGCATCAGAAAGGCCTCGCCCTGGGAGGTACGCAAACTGAGGAAGAGGCTTCATGTACGGCAGCATGAGAGGTTCCAGGAGCTCCTTTGCCGTGCCCGCCAGTCCTTTAGCGTCCGGCCGGAGTATGCCCAGCGGCCTTAGCTGAGAAGGCTTGTCAGCCGGCTTGCCCGGTTTGGGGATCAAGCATAGATCCGCGCGAGTCAGATCGTCGTCTAGTGACTGGTCTTGCGCCAGGCCAGAACAGTATTGTGAAAGCGCCTCGGATACCGGCTGAGCGCAGAGCTTCCAGGCTGCGGCCGGCGCTGCCCCTTTCGGAACTGCCTTGCCAGGTTTAATCGAAGCAATATGTTTTGCCAACTTGGTCTGTGGCAGAAGGGGCAGAAGCCCCGAGTCTGAAGGAAGCGGTGGGTGTGCTGCAAAGACCTGGGTGGCGTACTTTCCCAGCTCCGCAAGTTCATTTGCTGGGCTGAGCAGGAAGCCATTCGAATCCTTGAGCTGAGCCTTCAGAGCCGGTTTCCACGGTCTAAGATGCTTGAGAGTTTGATATGCCAGGTGTTGATCTCCCTGTTGGAGAGCCTGATCCACCTCAGCAAGGAACCGCTTGGTTTGGTCTTTGCGGGACTGCCTAACCGCCAGTTTATGCTGGTCATACAGCAACTGGCAGGCATCATCGGCTGTAGCTGATTCAGCACCGGAATGAGCATTGCTCCCTCGCGCAGAGCGCCACATTCTTCTGGCAATACGCGTCTCCGGACTTTCTGGCATTGCCACCGGGGTCTTAGGGAAGAACCTTGATGTGGCTTCGCCAAGGAGGCGATCCCATGACACCGGCTGCATGTCCGGGGTTAGACGTGTTTTGACCCACGCGAGCATTTGCTGAGCTGGCAGCGTGTTGTCCCTAACAGCCGCTTGCAGGGCAGCGGCGTCGAACTGATGTGTCTGTATCTGAGGGGGCGGCAGATTCCAGTGCCTTACTGGCTTGACAGTCGCACTGATGGGCAGGTGCCCGCTTTTCTTCCAGCTGCCTAGCGGAAAATCCGCCAGTGGCGTGGAAGCCTTGGCAGTGCCTCCAGCTGACACCTCTCTCGTAAGCACAAAGTCAATTTGAGTGCGCGTGTCCCCTTGTTGAAACGTAAATGGCGGCTGAGGTCTCCACGTGTTGAGAGCCACCAAGCCGTGATTGAGCAAGAAGTTTGTTAGCTCTGGTTCATCAGGTCGCGGTTCCTGTGGACTGATGAGCTCGGGACCAACCAGCCTGGGCTGCTTTTGCAAGGAGCTGTTGAAATCACCTGCTATGATGAGCGTGTGTCTGTGTGGTACGCGTTGCACACATCTGCCAAGAGCTTTCAGGACCTGTGCCCTGTCCTGACGATTGGCCTGCACCTGTTTGGCCGGTGACCAGACATGTTGATACACGGCAATCAGATGGATGCGGGCCCCGTGCCAGTCGAACCTGACTTCCAGGGCTCTGCCTATGACATGCTCCTGCCAACGCACACCTTTAGGGAGAATGTGTGGGGACAGGAAGACCATAACCCCGTCCGCGCGAGTCGTCGAGGGCTCCTTTCGGGGCGGATTTGTTTTGACGTCATTAGGCATTGCCTCTGCAGGTGGTTGTTTGTGGGCCTTGCCCCCGCCTTGCTTGCGTCTAGAGGCCTTCGGATCTGCAGCGGAGGCAGACGAGATGCAGTACCAGCCTGCAACACTAAACACTAAATTCGGCCGTAGCCTGCCAGTGGGTCTCCTGCAGAGCCATGATTTGACTTCCGACCATTGTTGCTGGCCTAGATGGCCTGCATTCCAAGATAGTACTCGGAGAGGCCTGGTGGCCTGTCCTGCTCTAGATCGTGGTGCAAAAGACTGTGTGGAACCTGGCCGCGGTGGGCAGTTGCCCATGCGCCTTAGAAGAGCTGGGGTCAGAACCTGACCTCGGTAGGAAACGGGCTGCTGGCTTGCAACCACCTTTCGGCAAACATGCTTGAAAGAATTCTTCTTGATCTGAGAATAATTTTGTGAGTGCACTGGGAGCAGCGCCATCCGCTATTTCGTCACAAGGCAAGCCGAGTGACTCCCTCCACCACGCGGCTAGTGGAAACCCTACCGCCTGCCCAGTGGGCCCGTGTTGAGACAGGGTACTGGGTCCAGGAATTGGGACCTGGCGGCTCAGACGCAAACTGTTGGCACATGGCACATGGCTCAGCGTGAGGAACCAACCCTTAGTCGTTCGGAGAGAGGCCTGTTTGAGACCTCTAGCAGCGCAAGGTTGGAATCCGGAGCCTGTTCGAAAGCCAGCGCGGAACTTCCAAAACGTCTGAGCCGTGGCGGCTACTACTACTACTACTACTACTACTACTACTACTACTTTTGAACCCAGGCTCTGCTCCTACTACTACTACTACTACTACTACTCCTCCTCCTCCTCCTCTTCCTCCTCCTCCTGCTGCTGCTGCTGCTGATACTACTACTAAGTTACTACTACTGCTACTGCTACTGCTACTGCTACTGCTACTGCTACTGCTACTGCTACTGCTACTGCTACTGCTACTGCTACTGCTACTGCTACTGCTACTGCTACTACTACTGCTACTGCTACTGCTACTGCTAGTACAACTACTACTGCTACTGCTACTGCTGCTGCTACTGCTACTGCTACTGCTACTGCTACTGCTACTGCTACTACCACTACTACTACGACGACGATGCCTACTACCAGTAGTAGTAGTAGTAGTAGTAATAGTAGTAGTAGTAGTAGTAGTAGTAGTAGTAGTAGTAGTAGTAGTAGTAGTAGCTCACCACTACTACTACTACCACTGCTGCTGCTACTGCTACACAACAACTACTACTACTACCACCACCACCACTACTACCACCACGACCACGACTACTCTCCTCCTCCTCCTCGTCCTCCTCCTCCTGCTGCTCCTTACTCCTGCTTCCTGCCGCTTGCACTACGGAACAACTGTACTATTGTTTTTTCTTACTACTTCCTACTTACTACTTACCACCGGTTACTCCCTACTCCTATCGGCCACGGCCACGGCCACTGCTATCATGACCTCAACTACGAGTTACTCCGAATAACCAGGTGCTTGGAGCGGACTCTTGAGCACAGGGCATAGACTAGAGTTTCACACGAAAATCGAGTTTCGACTCACACGCTCGCTCAAGGCAGGAAACGGGTCAAATGCGGGTGGGTTCTTGACGAGATTTCAAATCCACGCAGACAGTTGAGGCTCCGAAGGCCGACTTTGTGCATTTCGAGTTGAGGCAAAAGGCCATCTCGGGAGTCCTTGTGACGTCGGACCAGTTCCGGCATGACTTGCTCGAGCTCCTGCGCCACGAAGCCATACCTGGCACTGCAAGCGGTCTGTCTTGTTCAGGCGGTTCGGGCTCAAAGGGCAAACCCGGCACTCCGAATACGGTTGCACATGAAACTTAACGATGGATCGTGCTTGAAGGTTCGTTGTTTCACGCGGCACCGTACTTCGCTTGGTCCTCTCGCAGCCGAAGAAACAAGCTCAGCATGCCATAGATCCTTTGATTGCCTCGCCCTGCACGGCGAAAGGCTGCCACGAGGCGGTCGATATCATGCAGACGAAGGTCCACTCCACGCTGCTGAGCTCGCACGCCTAATCTCTTCCACGCCAAGTCATGGTTCACACCCCGCGCTGCAAAGAATTCCGCAAGTACCAACAGCGTGTCGGCTCGAAGGGAAAGACCCCGCCTCGCAACGTAGTCGGCCACTTGATACACGGGCCTGGCATCGTCCACGTCCAGAATCAGAAGAGCCTTCGCGAGCTCTGCTGCCATGTCCTGATTGAATGTGTGGTCCAGGCGTAATCGCCGTGACTCCTCGCAGAGAACTTCTAGCATACGTTCCTCCGGCCGCCATTTCAGCATGCCTAGAGCCGCCCAGATGCTCGTGAGGCCCTGTGCTGCAAAAGAAATGGAGCGCATCTCCATGGCTTCCAGCATGAGCAACAGAAGCCACTCAAGGAATCGCCGGTCGTCGGGCGTCAGCTTTCCAAGTGCTTTCAGCAAAATGCAGAGGTTGTGGCTCGACTCAGGCAGACTCTGCCCAAAGAGTAAATTCCGGACTGATTGCTTCAGCACCACAACTTCGGAAGGTGACACACGATCAACTGCCGCCAAGCCCCAAGCGTACATTGCCAAGTCTGCTAGCAAGAAGTCCTGCGCCCGGGCACGGAGAGCAGCGCCGAGGGAAGTCCAGGCCTGGTCGTCGTGGACCAACGTTCGCCTCGGCGCATCGACCAAAACACACTCCACACATCTTCACACTCACATTCACCCTGTTGGGCCTGGTACAGTAACCAAAAACGCTCCTTTCCTGGCAGGCTGCCCGAGGCCCCAAGCACAGAGCGCCAACTGCTTCGGGGTCATAAGAGGTATGCGAGCCACCATCAGTGGAAGCAGCCTCCACACCGCCGGAGCATAGCCCAGAACGCCGTATCGGTGGAGAAGAAGGTGCACACTATCCTGGAAGTGTACATCTGCCTTCGAGACCAACAGCTGACTGTACTCCTGGAATTGCGGCAATGATGTGCTGAAGCGCTTTCGCACCGTCAGCAGGGTCAAGGATGCAAGCCAGTCTCGCTTCGAGAAGTCTCCACTTCTCTCCAAGCAGAAGCACAAGAAGTCACCTGCCTCGGGATATGCTGCCATCTCCCGAGCCAGCGGAGTATCGCACTCCCATCGCAAGATCTTCGCACCGCGCACAGCCAAAAGCTGGTGCTGGTGAAGTGGCCTCAGCCTCTTCGAAACCCGCCAGAGCCACATGAAGCTTTGGCCGAGCTAGGCCTTTTCGCGTAAACTTCATTGGCCGGCAAGGGCTTGTTTGTGGAGACTCGTCGCTGCCTGCAAGTTCTACATGAGCACCCCGCGAGCATCTCAGTTCTTGGTTGAATGATGTTGAATTTGAACACTAGGCAAACTCGAATGTTGCGGACGGCGTCAATCATGTATGACAGCAACTTTCTGCGCTCACACGTCTTCACGGACACCAGGCTCACCTGACGTACTTGGCGTCCGGTCCCTCCTTGAAATAATAGGACACTGGTCGAAGCTCCTGGATCACTGAAAACTTCATCTCTTCCAATTACTTGACATATGTGCTGCACATTTTTGAAGTTTCACTTCAGTCCCGCAGCAGCCAGCCCACGGCCTTCGCTCTGTCCGACTCTCCTGGCATCGCGAAAGGGCGGCGACAGTGGGCTTCCGAACGCAAGCAGGCATCTGGGCAGAAACTGCAGTTATTAACAGACAGTGACAAGTGCACACACCTCGATAAGGCAAACCCGCCTTCTGAGCCTCTTTCAGAGCTAGTCCGCTGCATAGCCCTGGACGCGAGAGTCCCTTCCAGCGGCTCGATACGACGCCTGGGCGGTTTCCGGCTGCAGACCCTCTTGGAGAAATCTGTTTGCCAGGGGCCGAGCTTCAGCCTCTGGTCTGAGGCACTGATGATACTCTCCGATGACCAGGTGCCTCCGCACCAAATTGAGAGAAGCCATTCTTTGATCCAGGAAAAAGCGTAGGCCCAAGGCCGTGGAGGCTTCCCCCGGTGCTACTGATGCTCATCCGCTTCAGGCCACCAGCCTTGGCCGAAGGACTTGTGACTGGAAAGGAATCGCATCAGCATCGGTTGCTGTGTTTCTGTCTCTGCTCAGATCCGAGCGTGGACTCTGAGCTCTGTCGCTCCCGTGTCGTAGTAGATGTAGTTATTCCTGCAAGTTCATCGGCTTGCATCTGCAGGGCACTTCACCGCATGCCTGCTCTGTAACATGCCGTGTGTTAGCCAGGAGACGCCCCGTTGAAGTGGATAGCAAAACCTGGCGATTGCCGTGCACCAACCGAAGACTTGGACTTCCAGACCAATCTTACGCTCTCTCTCACACATCGCAACCGCGAGCGTGTTCGGGGCTCGGGATTGCTGGTCACAGTCCCAGCCAGGCCTGGATAAACATTATCGTGAACTGCCAACGTGCTCTCCAAACATGCGGTGCCAATCGACATCCTTAGCAGCAGAATCTCCACATGTAGCCTCTCGACCTCCGTTTGTCTCGCTTTTCCCGTCTATGTAGCCCATACTGCAAGCCGCAACATGCCGCGACCTAACGCGCAGATCCCAAAGCTGCTGGCAGTTAGGGCCCCAGCGAGGGGCTGCCCGGCTGAGCAAGCTGTCGCAATGGCAAGAAAGCACCTGCACCTAGCACACATGACAGAGAAGCCGGATGTGATTCCACACGGCGTGAGCTGGTCGACCATGCAGAGACAGAGAGAGAGAGAGAGAGAGAGAAAGATAGAAAGAGAGAGAGCGACACACAAACGCACACACAGACAGGCCCCGAGTAATCATTGGGGAATCAAACGCATCACTCAGAATCAGTGGAAATCAAGAATATATCGGAGTGCCTTATTCCTCATGCCTTGCACATGCAGCAATTATGCGGCAAACCTCTCGATCTCAAAGCTCATCTAGTGTCATACCTTGTCACAAAAGAACATGAAGAAGCTTGACGTCATTTCGCAGGTTCGTTTACACTAGAAGACAGGTAGATGAGGGCGCGGTCTTCGTTGGCCAGCGCACGCACTCATCTTACCTGCCTCTCCGCTGGCCCCCTGCTTGCATAAGGCCCTTTGGAACAGGGATTGACACACACACACACACACAACCCCATACACACACACACACACACACACACACACACACACACACACACACACACACACACACACACGCACACACGCGCGCGCACACGCACACGCACACGCACACGCAGACAACGACCCGAGCTGCACCAGATGGTCCAGCAAGCATGCATCCTCCAACTGAAACCGAACTTGCGTTAAGCTCACAATGTGAAACAGCTTTGTTACGGACTGCATCTTCGATTCTTCAAAGGACTGCAACTCGATCCAGAAAAGTAGAGTAAGTTCTCTGCAAAAACACATCCAGGGCCGGCACGTGAAGAAGCCGTAATCGATGATACTGTTTCTGAGCCTGACATTTGTACCAAGACTCCAAGCCCTCTCCCCGACGACACGTCCTTTCATTAGCAAACCCTGACTGTGGCGTTATCAGCAAAGAAGTCGTAAAAGACTTGTCTGCATCAATCTCCCTCTGTGAGCCCGGCAGGCGAGGCTGTGTAAAGGAAGCAAGACGCCCAACTGGGGTTGCTCACAGCACTTCAGAGCTGAGAGACATACAGGCGTCGAGCTGCGTACTAAGGCATCCGCATGCAAAGAATCCGAGGCAATCGGTGGCAGATCAAAACAAACTCCACCCAAGGCCAGCGGTGACATGTCCAAGTGGCCAACCTCGGACTGGCGGCGATCACGGCGAGCAGCCAAAGATCACTTGAGGAATGCACCCACTTCTCATGGCCATGTCTAGCACGCGTCATATGCCCGGATTCTTCGCCACACTTGGGCGCCTGCATGTCGAATGGATGATGGACCTTTGTGTTTCGTGTTGGACCCATATCTTCCGCACAGCTGGATGCAAAATACACACCAAGACTTTGAACGTTTAAGGCGGGTGACTCACTAAGTTGACATTGCCACCAAAAGTCGCATCACCTCGGTACCGGACTTCTTTAAACGCAACTCTGGAGGCCGAGCGCGCACACAGGAAACAAAGCTCAAGTAAGGGAAGCACCGACCGTCGATAGCCCCAGACCGGAGCGTGCGGGCCTGAAGCCGATCAGCGAAGAATTCGAGACAACGCTTGAGAGCCGCTCCGGTGATGTGTTGGCCATTGGACTGGCACTGACATCGGCACAACTGTTCATCTTGTGGACTGCTAGGCAATAAAGCGCTTCCAAGACTTCCAGACCTGGCTCCTCCAAGAAGCGATACCTGCCTTCGGCAGTACTTGTACGTCAAAACCGGGGACCGCACGATCGAATGGCCAGAAACAAACCAGATGAAGCCTTGCCGTGGGACAGTCCCCTCTATCTACCGAAACCAGCAGCTCGCCAAATGCTTGCAAGACACAAGGTCCAGCACTGCGGCTGGAAAACCAAAACGGGACCGTCCAAATGACGGAAGCAGCGGTCCAGTGCACCCGGCTGTCCTGCAGGGTTCTCGCAGAATCAACCAAGAAGAAGCACAGCATAGGCACCCCTACACTCAGCTACGCTGTGTTACGCCTGCCTCATCAACGATGATACGTCCGCAAACGCAGCGTCCAAGGCTGATGAAGTGAATCCAGCCTTCAAACCAGATGTGCCCGCCTACGAAGCGACACGGCGTTCAGAAGCTGTAGCTACTCGGGCCGGTGCACAGGTGCCGCCGATGAGGAAAGCCAATACATCTAGCTGGACGAAACCTCAACAATGCACGCAGCGAGCACACGGGAAGAGCCTGCAGAATCTGCTAGGTCCTAGGTCTTAGAGTCCTAGGTGCATCGAGCACCAGACTTTGCAGCAACAGGGCCGTGTCCGGATGTCCGGGGTCCTCGGAGAGTCATCTCTTTGCGTTCCTTCTGTTGCGCACAAAACTGACGAGGGGCCGGGGTCGATGGCGAAGATCCGACTTTGAGGGCCGAGATCCTGAGAGAGTTCAAACAGTTCAGGTGGCACGGACGATCACGGACGTTTCCATCAGCTCAGCTCACTCTTGGTGCCAGGCGTTGGCACGGACGGGCCGAAACATCCCAGTCTCTTCGAGGATATCATGGCCTCGACCTTTCGCCGTTGCGCACATGTTAGTGTCATCTTCAGGCGCCTCCTTGCCGTGTAGTGCCGAGGCTGCCGAGGCCGGTGCAAAAGACAAGTCCGCAGCTGGGAGTGGCAAACCAAGTGTGCCCATTCCGGACATCGACCTTCCGATGCAAAGCACCACGGCACTCTTGGAGTTCGAGAAGGCTCTCGTTCTGAGCCACAAGCAGGCTTGCTCCAGAATGGGAAAGGCTTTGCAGGGTTGGGAGAAGGTCTGGATGAAGAGAGTCCTCAAGGGGCGCTGAAACGGTCCACAGGTGCAGACGAGGAAAGGACCGGGCTCTGGACCATCACTGCCAACAGGGAACCGAATCATCCTCCCATGACCCCACGAGTGGTGTCGCAGACTCCAAGCTCCTGCAATCGGGCCTGGCCTGGTCCAATTGCCAGAACTACCGGACCGAGCTGAAGCAAGTTTTGCACCGAAAGAGCACCTGCCCCCAAAAGGCACCGAACAAAGAGAGCACTGGAGCCTTCGCGATTCACTCGAGGACCCCGCTTCCCGAGTGCGAGCAGTCCAACGCTGAAGGCAAGAGCCCGAGGTGACAATTGCTGAGAACCATCGAGACGGCTCCTGACCTGGCAGATTGGCCTCAGGAACAAGGAACTCTCGCTGATGTGAATACTGATTTCGACAGCCACAGATGAGTTCCCAACGCAAAATCAGCAGAAAGCCTCCGGACAGGAGCGACTACGGGTCCAGGGCCACGGCGAAAAGGACGGGTTTCCGGTTTCCGGCCTAGTTGGCTCATCTCTGGTGCCAGCATCGAAGCCTCAAGCCGGGACAACCTGGAAGCTGCCGGCGACATCCTGGAGGGAACCAAGACAGTGGAGACAGAACCGTCGCCATAGGTCTGCCCACTTCTAGCCGAGCCACTCGAGTCGGCACAAGCTGCGCAAAATCAACGCCAAATCAAATTTGGCGACCTCGGCAAGGCTCAGCAACCTGCACGTGCCAGTGCCAGTGCCTTCTCTTCGCGTGTGTTAGAGACTCACGGCTCAGCCTCCGAGCTAAAACTCTGGAGACTGTGGGTTCAACAAACAGGAACTGCACAGCTGCGCTATGTCTGGGCATCTGGCTGTCAAAACAGAGGGCAAGCTGCCAACATGCGATCTTCCAGAGAACGGCAGAAGAAGTTCCAATCTGAGCAGTAAAGCTGGTGCGATAGTGCAGTTGTGTTTGTCGCTCGCATGAGAACCGCACCATGCGCGACACTGCAGCGACGACAGCACATCTAGGCTTGCCCAGTCGAGGGTGGACGGGAACCTCGGTCTTGTGGGAAAGTGCAGATGCGAAGACATGCGAAGCTTGCCACCCTACTGAGGCAATCGCAAGTCAAGCCTGCTCGTCCCTGGCAGTGGCGACGGAGATGCCAGCCTCGCGGAGCAACCGTGAACGACCCGAAGCCCGAAACAACCGCAATCGGTCACAGCCATAGCTTCACATTCGTCGGACCTGCTGAGTTGCCGCGGCGGCAGAAGTGGCCCAGTTGTCTGAAATGCACAGGCGAACAGCGCTACGGCCAGCCTTAATGGCACGTTGCTTCGATGCCAAAAATGTGGTTCGTGTGCTCCAGCGACACTGAGGCAGCTGCCATGCGAGACTTCTAGGAATTGGTAAGCTGCCCAGATGCAGAGGATCAGGAGCCTGAACGTCGCGCACCCAAGCGCAAATATTTTGCGACCCCAAACGAAGCATGGGCCAAGGGACTGTGAGAGACATCTCAAGGCGAGCAACACCGACAAGCGGAACACATGGCCTCAAGGCGCCCACGTTCAAATCAAACCGTTGATTGATCGCTTCGCTGGGCCCCTGGCCCAAGTCACACGGGGGACCTCGGCAGGCAACATACACTCCTCCCAAACACCACCTGTAGTTGCTAGCCCACCCGTTGACGACGTCTGGTGCAACCGCGCCGCTGCAGTGACGGGGTGGCATCTGACCGGTCGGCATCAGCTGCAGCCTTAAAGTGTGATCGTGGCAAAACTGCAAAACGATGAAGGCGACAGAATGCTTCGTTCTGGGCCAAATGCCGGAAGTAAGCCCAGCTTCAATCCACCGCAGGGAGGCGAAGTGGGGCCACCTTCGGCACAATGAACGATGCACTGGGTAAGCGCAGCATCCCTGGGAGCGAAACAAAGCCGAGCCCGTCACACCGACTGGGCCGCTGCAAGGAAAGGAAAGACCCCGAGCCTCAGCGCAAAAAGACGCTCGAGGTCACAGTCATCGAAGCCTTCGCTCGTCTCTCGGGAAACCGCAGAGGAAGTCCAGAACCAAGGCTGACCTTCGAGCTCAAGCTGTCAATCTTGCAACTGGCAATTTCAAGGCCGGCGAGGCCCGGACAAGCCGAGTCTGCTCAGGCCCACAGCTGAAAGTGTCGGACTTAAACAAGCGAAACCTCCACGGGTCGGGCAGGATGGAACACTTCGGCTCAATAGCCCAATGGACTGACTTCCACCGCAATCCACCTTGAATGAGAATGGGGAAGTCCATCTTCGCAAAGTCACACACCATCAGCATCACTTCAAGGCGTGCCAAGCCGAATGTGACCAGCGCAGAGCCCAGGCAGGCCTCAAGAAGCAACGAACGAAAAAATAAAATAAAAACACAATGCGAAATATCCGTTGGACGTCGCCATGCTGAGCTCGACACGGATTGCCGCACAAGTAAGGCTGATTCGGTCCGTACCATGTCCAGCACCGGCAGCGACTGAGATGGTAACGGTGCGACTCAGCGTGGAGTGAGAGAATACAGCGGCCTCAACCCACATGAGGCTTCCGAGGCCCTGGCCTTCTCGAGATCGGCAGCACCAAAGAGCGGCACCGCCACAGCAACTCTAGCAAGGCTCCTCAGGATGCACGAGACATGCGCTGCATGGCATCATGTTCGGGCTCTTGTAGCTCAGAATCTGGAACCTGCCTCAGATCGCAGATCCCCGAGAGTGGAATCGACAGACCCTTGAATCCAAGCCTGGCTCGATCCCGAAATCCGAATCCCTAAATCCCCAAATCCGACACTACGCCCTGAAACCCACCAAGAAAACGTGGGAATTCGAGAGGCGCAGGACTCGAATCTCAAAAGCCCGAAACCTCATGTTATACCCTGCTGTTGAACCCAACACCCACCAGAAAGAAAAAATGTTGAGACCTTAAGCGTTCGCACAGACCCTCGCCTCAGCAAAAGAGAGCTGCCCAGGCAGGCCAGTTCAGAGGCTGGCAATGCCAGCCCAATGCGGGAAAAGCTCCTTGCAACAGTCGAGAAAAGCAGCTCAGGGTGTCCCAGAACCAGACAAGAGAGCCTCGGAATCAAGGAGCTGCCAGGGTGAAGAGGATCAAGGGCAGGCAGCAGCATGCCTGTCCCAAAGCACGAGGCCACCACTACTAGTACCACACACAAGAAATGTGCGGAGTGACATCGCCTGGACGACTGCGGCCACTGATCGGCGTGAGAGCTCCAGCATGGGAGAGGCCATGCAAAGATAGAGGGCTGCCGGTTCTCGAGCAACCTCAGCCGGCAGCTGCCACTCCTACTGCGGTCTGCGTGCTCATTGCTTGCTCAGCCCCCGACCAGGCACCATCACCGCTGCGCCAGTGCATCCGGAACTTCGTGGGAACAGCGCTGGGCCGAAGTTGCTAGAATCCAGGACAGGGGCAGGAGCGCCAAGCTTGGTCCCACCGCACCTTGGCTTCGACAGGCTCTGCGCCAGCTACTATGGACTGGGCTCAGTACCTACCTCCAACTGCAAGGCAAAGCCACGCCAACAGTGTCGCGCCAGGCCGTGCAGGGCTGCGGGTTGAGGGCGCTGAACCGGTGCCAGACGAGTGAGGGGCAAAGGCAGTGGCACCCGGTTTCGAAGGGCTCCGAGTCGGCAACTGAGCCACAAGGCGTGGTTCATCATATCGCAGGCAAAACAGCAAGTACAGATCAAGTAAATTGAAGCAAACAGACCCAAGTACAGTTCGATGCAGTCAAGGAGCGAATGTGCCCAATTGCAAGGGGTCGGGCGCTGACGAAAGCGAATCCATACGCAACCTTCCGAGAAGGCTGGCTGACGAGCCCATCCATGTGGAGCACCGCACCGAAAACCTAAGCCGAAGCACGGACATTCAACCTTTGGAGATTTGGAGGTAATGGGACATGGCAAGGGTCCAAAAAAAACATGGTAGCTGGCAGAACCTGGGAAGGGCATGACGAGGTCGGGCGCACATGAAATGTAGCAATGCAGCCAAGAAGCAGGAAGCCGAGAGCAGCTAAGTCCAGCACAGCGAACGGCGACTCCAAGTGGCATGCCCCAGAGGTCGGTAGCATGCTGCCAAAACAACCGTAATTGCGCATGGGCAACAAGCTTCCCAAGGTGGTGTAGTCCAATGTGGGCATCGCACCTCCAAAATTGCATGTGCCGATGGAAGAGGTCGATGCTCCAAGTCTCAACGCCGCGCGAAGAAGTAGCGGACTGCCCGTCTCGACGCAACCTACGGCAAGAAGAAGTGAGCCAGTCCGACCCAGGCCAAACAAAGACAGCAACACAGCCGAGCAAGTGGAAGTTTGCAAGAACATCAACGACTCTGAGATCGAGAAACTCAATGCCAGCAACGCTAGGCCGAGCCTGGCAAGCCCAAAAACGAGCACGGAGGTGCCAAGACAACTGTACTTTTGCAGCGGCGACAAGCTGTCCGTGTGGGCCATGGCCAAGGCGGACAGAGGCGGGCCCGGGCAAGCACATGACTGCAAAAGTGGTGACGGGCCTAAATGCAAAGGATCAGGAGCTGCTGCGAAAACTTCGAACCGTGCTAAAGCACACACGGACGAGATCAGCTCAAGCCTGGCAGGCCTCCGAATTACTGAAGAAGAGCCCAAGTCCAGAACATCCAACGCTGATGGTGCAGATTCGGTGCTCGCAACACCTATGAGAAGCAAGGGGCTGTCCATACAAACGAATCTTCTCAAAGGTAGCGATACACCTGCTTCCGATGCCTTGGGGGCAAGCGCCGTCATGTCCAATTGCATGAGACTATGTGGAAGCAGCAGCATGTCCGAGTGCAAAGGGTCCAAAACCGATGTCGAGGACTCCGGGCGACTCGTACCAGGAACTGCCGTGATCAAGCCCAGCCTCAAAAAAATCCTGATCACCAAGGATGGGCCAAAGCCAGAGAAGTTTGCAACCGAAGGTAAGGATCCGCAGCAGGTATCGCCAAATGATGGCAGGGCTGTCCCCAACTGGCTGTAGCTACGGGGAAGTGAGGCCACACCGAAATGACCAAGTCCTGAAGCTGAGGTCGTGGCCGACACGTATGCCAGGCCGTGTGGCAACATAGGTGCTTCCGGTTCGACAAAGCTCGAAACCAAGAAGGTCAGATCGAATCTAGCCGTTCCGCAGACAAGCAAGAATGGACCAAGCCAGGAGGGGCTATGCATCGACACAGAACTCTCGAGCTTTGCCGAGTCCAGCAGAAGCAAGTGACCCTCTGTCCACGCAAAGTTCCTCAACGAAAGTAGACTGTCGGGGTGAAGAAAGTCAAAGACAAGCAGAGCCAATCCCAGACACCCGAATGACCGGACTGAAATCATGAGGTCTGAATGCAAAAAGTCCAGGGCAAAAAGGCAAGATTCAGTTCGCGCACAGTAGAAAATAAGCGACGATGGACCGGTTCGGGCGAAGCCTCGGATTGAGAGGCAGCTCCCCGTCTCGAACTGCTGCCCAACTCGCAAAACCCCCGCGGCCAAAGGTGAAGATCCTGGGCGCCCACATTGCCTCGCCGAAAGCATCGACCCGATCGTCGTAAGATCCACCACGAACAGACACAAGCCCGAGCGGAAAGCACGGATGACGGGGGTTGGTGGCTCCGCTCTCGAGGAGCTCCTCATACTCAGGAACGGCCCAAAGTCAGCGAAATCAACAGTCGGCATAGAGGTGTCGCCACGGAGGATTCCTGAAGGAAGTGTCGAGCTGCCAACTTGCAAGAATGTGTGCAGGGATACTGAAGGACCTGCATTCATGAGATCCAGCGGAGGCATGGCCAGACCAGTCCGAGCCCATGACCGGGATGGGGCGGAAAAGCCGGCACTCATAAAGTCCGAAAGCAACAGAGCCAGCTCAGGCTGAGCCATCCGCACAACAAAGAAGGATGAGTCAGCCCTTGTAGAGTGACGCATAAGGACTGGAGGTCCGGCTTCGACGAAATCGGTCACCAGCGTCGGAGCTCCCAACCGGCACATGCCAGAAACCAAAAAAGAAGCATCAGTCCATGCCGTGTTGCGTGCCGAGAAGGAGGAGTCCACGAAGGAATAATCAAGCAAAGGCAAGAAAACATCTGGCTGGAGCCCACCAAGAACGAACATAGGAAATGCAAAACACGCCGGTTGCTGCAGTAGCACGAAAGACTCCACGGAAATAAGTTCCAGTAACGGCGTCACCAGTTCAGCTCTGCTGAAGCTTCGCACAGACGTGGTGGAGCCGACAAGCATGCTACCCACGAGAAGAATGGAACGTTCCACACGCACTCGGCCAAGACATGACATTTTCAAACCCGCGCAAGTGAAAGCTCTGGCCAGCACCGAGAGCCCTAGTTCCGCGAAATCCAGAGTCAACATCGAAAGTGCCGGCCATGCAAAAGCTCGCAAAGAGAATGAGCTCTCAGGATGCAGTGGGTCGGGCAGAAACAGTGCCGGGTCAAAACGGGACTTGCCAGATGCTGGAAGAGCAAGATCTGTTCAAGCAAAAGCTTTCGAAAAAACTGGTGCCTCTAGCTGAATACAATCAGCAAGTAAAGGAATGGGCTCTGGGCGTGTGAAGCTGCGAACGGATGCCGCAAGGCCCAGCATGGCAAAATCCAGCAGTGAGATGGCTGGGCCGCACCTAGATTTTCCGAACAAGAACAACGGGAAGTCAAATAGTATTCCTTTCCGAGCTGATGGCGAGGACTCTGCACAACCAAACGACAAAGCCAACACAAGAAAGTCCATGCAGAATGAGCCTTGCAGAAGCAGGGAACTGCCCGTGGAGATCCAGCTCAGCAGAGTCGTAAGCACACCCAATCTGCTCTTGCCAGGTGCAGGTGGTGAAAAATCTGTGCGTATGCCATTCTGCAACAAGGCAGGTGAGCCCATGGTTACGAAATCTAGGAGGCTCATACCCCGTCCTGAACGGACGGGACTGTGTGCAGGAGGAGATGGACCTGGACCAACACCATCTAGAATCGAAGGTGCAGAACCGAACATGATTCTACCCAAAGCAGGCATGCCGGAACTGGATCTGCTAAAACCTTTCGGTAGCAGTGAGAGGTCCGGGTGCAAGAGGTCGGCAGTCGGCACAGGAAACTCCGTGCGAGAAAGCCCGAACAAAAAAGACGTAAAGCTTAGACCAACGAGTGATCGCACGGCAGCTGCTGACTCAACTTCGCACATGTCCAAAGTCAACAGGAAAAACTCGCACCGGGCACATCCAAAGATCGAGAAGGTACTTCCAGTACAACTGAAACCATGAAGAACTGATGGCAAGTCAGCCATTGCAGAGTCAAGCAAAGGAGGAACCAGTTCAAGTTGCACGAAAGACCGCAGCAAGGACGAAAGGCCAGTGCTGCTACTGCCCGGGACAGACAATGCAGTTCCCAAAGCACCCTTTCCAAAAAGCAGGGAAGCGAGGCCTGAGTGTGCGAGATGACGCGGGAACGGGGAAGCTTCCAAGTGCACAAAGTCCAAAACAAGGAAAGCCACATCCGGTCGTGTTCCACTCGGAATGGGTGGAAAACTTCCTGTCCAGCAGAGCTTTTGCATAAGCACCGGAACGCCGAGAAGGCCCAAATCGAGCAAAGCAGTAGAAAAGCCAAGGCATGTTAGCCCCACCACAGGCACGAACAAATCCAAATGCGAGAGCGCACGTGCCGTCGACGATAACTCTGCATCGAAAAGGCCAGGCAAGGATGTCAGAGGACCAGGCCAAACTGCACCTGATGCAGGCGGCATGAAGTCAATGATCATTACACCCTTGACTGGGACCGTATCCTGGATTGCAGCATCACTGCGGATCTCCGCAACCCCGTAAGTTAGCAGCAGGGCACCCATGCAGACAGAACCTCTAATAGGCAGCAGTGGAGCAATGCTCCCGTAGGACAACAAGAACATCGCGGGCCCGATGCACACACTGCTCCTGCATGATAATATGGGGCCCAGTCTCAAGTGATCTGAGGCAGGCATAGCGGGCTCCTGCCAAACCATCCCAGCGGCCGATGACAGGACACCCGGCTTTGAGTGTTTCTGAATGAACAGTGGTGGGCCGAAGTCGAGAAACTGTGCCACAGACAAACCCCTCCTCCCAATACGAGAGCAGCCGAAAGGAAATGACGGCAAGCCTGTGTGAAAGAAGGACTTCAGCGACGGCACCGCTCCCAAACTTCCACCATCGAAGACAGAAAGCAAGCTGCCCATCCAGGCCAAACCAATTGCAAGCAAGCAGGATCCAGAACGGGCAGAATCCTGAAGTGGCACTAACAAACCAGTCTGTGCAAGGTCTAGGGCTGATGTCACGGCATCAAGGTGCAAAAAGCCTCGCGATGGGGCAGGCACCTCAGCTTGTGCTGCATCAAGGAGTGGGAATGAAGCATCGGCCTGTGCAAGGCTTCGCAATGCCAAGAAGAGCCCCATGTTTTGGCAGTCCATCATCAGAGTCGCCGGACCCGCTCAAACAAGAGACTGCGATGGCAAGATGCTTCCCACCAGGGCCAGGTCGAGAACAGACGTGGCAAAGCCGAAACGGCAGAAGCTCCTCGGAACCGCAAACGCTTCCACATCTACGAAGTCCAACGCCAATGACCCCGCATCCGCTTGGCAAAGGCTCTGAATCGACACGACCACATCCGACTCCATGCTGTCCAGGAGCAGAGTTGTAGGCTCTGGACGCACGGCACCACATGCTAGCATCAGCAACTCCGAACGGCATGTTGTGTGCACAGGAGTCGGCAAGCCGAAGTTCGCGTGATCCGGCGGAGGCGCGCTTAAATCCAAACGAGCACAGCTATGTAGCAGCAGCAAGCTTTCCAGATCACAGAGTCCTGATGCCAAAAAGACTGGACCCGAGCGCATCAATCCCATCACCGGCACCATGGACTCAGGATGATAGGGGTTTCGAGGCAACGAAGAAGGCTCGAAAGCAACGAGGTCTGACAGAAGCACTGCGGTGCCGGCCCTGGAAAAACTTCGAAGCGACAACACTGCGCCCACGGAAGCAGCGTCCGGAGGAAGCAGTGGTGGACCGGCTTTTGCGACGCCAGACAGCAGAAACATGGCGTCCAGCCGCGAAGGGCTCTGAAGCGGCACCACAGCGCCACAGTTCAGCAGCTCCGGCAGGAACACCAAAGCACCTGACCAGGCCATTCCCAAGGCAGACATCACCGAATCTGTACGCGCAGGTTCTCGCAAGAAAGAAGCGAAGCCTGAGTGAAGGAGATCCAGAGCTGCCAGAGATGCCTCCAAACAACTCCGTCCAAGCAAGGCCGAGGAAGCATCGGCCCAAGAGAAGCTTCGCAACAGCATTGAGAACCCGGGAACGGCGCAGTCTACAAGCAACAAAGCTGCACCGGTCCACGCAAGGCTCCGCAAAGGAGGCAACAGTCCTGCTGCGCACGACCCCGGAGCAGACATAGGTGTTTCGGAGTTAGAAACACCCGCTGGCAAAAATGACGGCCCCATCCACAGCATGCTTTGAGCCACTGACGGGGATTCAGTATTCCCAACATCTAAGGCAGCAGCTGGCAAGTCGGGGCAACAAACCCCAAGGGCCAGTGGAGCAGAAGCCATGTGAGCGGAGTTGCGCACGAGAGGAAACGAGCCAGCAGTGGCAAGATCTGAAACGAGTGTAGTGCAATCGGTTCAAGACAAGCTAAGCAGCGATGCAAAAACCTCCAAGCATAACAAGCTCCGCAGCAGCATCGACAAGTCTGCGGTCGCTGAATCTGGAACGGACGTTAATGATTCGAGACGCCCCGAGCCCATGGGCAACAGGGGCACATCTGAGCAAGTCAAACTTTGCATCAGCAAGCTGGGGCCTGTCCAAGACGAGCAACAGGCAGATGGGCTTGCATCGGCACGAGACGGGCCGAAGAGAAACACAGACAAACCGTGCCGAGCACATGCTCTGGGAAGCAGTGACGATTCTGGAGATGAAGGGCTTGGAACAAGCAGGACCGTCCCTGAACGCGAAAAACTCTGTGGCGACAAGGACGCTCCAGCAGAAGCCAGATCTGGAAGCAGCGGAAGTGGCCCGGAGAACGCGAAGCCTCGAACCAGGGATGCCGGCCCAGCTCGACTGAAGCTGTGTGTGGATAGCAAAGCTCCGAGGTGGGCCGAGCTGAGAGCAAAAGGCGAGGAATCGGCTTGGACAAGGCTCCGAGCAGGCGGAACACTTCCGAGGTTCGCGTAACCCAACGCAGCCACTGACACGTCCAAGCTTGCTCTTGAAGGCGCCGACGAAAGGAAACCCGGTTTGGCATGTCGTTGCAAGGCAAGCGATGGTCCGGTGTGACCGGAGCCAGACACCAGAGGCAACAGGCCTGGATGAGCCAGGTTTCTCGACGGCGGTGAGACTCCTGCCTGAGATGCTCCGGGAGCCATTGAAGACACACCTAGGCGAGCACTGCCCATTGCCGGCGACAGTGACTCCACTCAAGCCGATGATCTTGGTAGCGAAGAGATGTCAAGATGCAAGGGGTCCAGTACTACAAGTGAAAATTCCGAGCGCAACAACTGTAGCACAGCCGCGGAAGCACCCAAACAGGCCATGTTTCGTGTTGCTGCTGGCGGGTCTGAGGACGAATAGCCAGCAGCAGGAGGAAGCAAGTCAAGACAAGCTTTGCCACAAGTAAAAACAAAGACGCCGAGTTTGGAAGCGCTGCGTGTTGACGATGCCGACCCGACGAGCATGATATCGCACGCAGGCAGGGGAGCGCCTGACCAAGACGAGAAGCTCGATGACATGCTGGAACCGGGACGCAGGACAGACTGAAGTAATGGCAGCGCCCCCATGTGTGAGAACTGCAAAGCTGAAGGTAGGGAGCCCGGACGGGCTTGGCCACCAGAGGTCAGCAAGACTCCTGGGCAGGCCGGGCTCCGCAACATAAGAGGCAAGCCAGTCTGAACAGTCCCTGGAGCCGTCAGCACAGGCTCCATGCGGCTGTAACTGCGCAGGGGAAGCAAAGACTCGGTTTGCAGGATCCCCGATGCAGAAACAAGGGCCCCCAAACATAACCTGCCTGACATCAGCAGAAACGATTCGAGCCTGCAAGCGCACTGCACGAACGGCAAGAGCCCCAGAAGCGCAGCATCCAATGTGGAGATGCTTGCTCCGAGTCGCGAGGTTCCGAGGGCTGATGTCAGGACTTCAAGTTGACCCACGGACTGCGCAAGCGTCGCAACCCCAAGGTGAGCAGAGTCCAGCACTGACAGGGAAGCCCCCAAGCATGTCGTGCGAAGAATCAGAAGCATGAAGTCCATGCACAAAGCTGCCTGCAACAGTAGCAAAGCATCCGTCTGGGCAGGACTCGGAACTGGCAGCACAGGACCACAGCTGGAAGGGCTCTGAAGAGCAAGAGACAACTCCAAGTGAAGAAGATCTGATGCAGGCAGCGGCAGGTCCAGCCGGACACGAGCCGCGGCAGGTGCTGGGACATCTGAATGGGCCAGAGACCGCAGAGGTGGAAGGCTGCCAATCGTGTGGAGATCCAAGGCCGGGAAACAGGCGTCCGACTAAAGGAGGGAATGCAATGGAGGCAAAAAGCCAAACAGCACTTTGTCCATTGCAAACATGGATGGCCCGAAGCAGATCGGACCCGATGATAACACAAGGAATCCTGAGCACATGTAGCGTCGCAGGAGCAAGGGTGCACCAAGGCCAGAGAAGCTCGAAAGAAGCGAAGAAGACTCCGGTCGACAGAAGCTTTGGGCAGGCATGGCGACTTCGAGCTGAGAGAAATCTGGAACCGCTGAAGTGAAACCCGGAGTCGCCAAGCCAACGGACAGGGCGGAAGCCTCAGAGCGTGCAAACGACTTCAACGGCGAGGCCGGGCCAAGATGCGACAACTCCAAAACAAAGGCCGCAAGCCCCACACGACCAAAACTGCGTGTCATCGTGAAGAGTCCTGCTTTCACAGAGGCTGGTGCAAGCAAGCTCACATCCATCTGCACAAAGCTGTGCACTGACAAAGCTGGTCCAAAAGATGACACCTTCATGGCGAACACGACCACATCAGCTTGAGCAGGACTCCTGGGGAGTGTAAATAAGCCCACTAGCACCACATCGCACACAAGCAAGCTAGAACCTGTACGTACAGGTGAACGTACCAGAGGTGGACTGCCCAACATTGCAGGGTCAAGAGCCAACGACGAATTGTCACAATGAGCTGATGACAGCAGAAGCGCTGCTGGACCTGACTACGCCAGGCTCCTCATAGATAAGGCCAAGCCAAGCATTGCTGAATCCATGATGAGAACCAAAAAGTCAGGTCGTGCTGTACCCAGGAGCAGCGACGGGAACCCGGGCCGAGAAACACCATGAGGCAAGGGAGGCGACTCCATGTGAACAGAATTCGGAACTATCAACGGCAGGTCCGCACGAGTGCATCCAGAAGCCGCAGATGCAGAACCCGTTCTTCCAGAAGCCCTCGGGAACAAAAGCATGTCCAAGTGCAGAAAATCTGCCAAAGAAAGCGATGCATCAAGCCTCATGCACCCGGAAATCGGAGCTACCGAGCCAAGGCGAACGAGCTGTCGCACAACCGGTGAGGGTTCAGTGCATGCCAAGTCTGGAGGCGAGGCTGACAGGCCCGAGCGCGAGAGACTTTGGACAGTCGTAAGACTTTCGAGTTGGATGCGATCTAGAGTTGACAACAGCAAAGCAAGGGCAGCAGCACCAAATGATGAAGAAGACAAACCAGTTCTAGCAGGCCGTTTCAACGATGGCAGACTGCCAGAGTCGACAGAATCAAGCATAAAAGCAACAGCTTCAAATCAGACGGAACTCCGAATCGGCAGCGCACTTTCCATGTGGGCGAGATCGGGAGCGAACAAGGAAGCCTCCAAGCAAGAACCCCCAAACAGTGCAGCGGGCGCATCCAAACGCGCTGAGCTTCGGGCAGGCAAGGACGGGCCCGGCGATCCCCAATCCGAGGTTAGCAGCACAGGGCCCGTACTGACACGGGAGAAGAGCGAAGGCAACGAGCCGAGACGGGCTGCTGCTCGAAGCGATGCCGATGCTTCGAAAAAGACCGCATCAGAAGCAGAAAGCAAGGGCTCGATACGACAAAGACCAGACAAAAGCATTTGGGGCTCTGGCTGCGAAAAAGACCTCGCAGAAAGAACAGGCCCCACTGGCTGGCAATCTGGAACCGGCAGAAGTGTGCCCAAACAGACAGGTCCGCACACGGGCAGGACAAGGCCTGTTCATGAAGAAGCTCGCGGAAGTGAGAACAGATCCAGTTGCAGAAGATCAAAGAATGACACGAATGCATCGGTCCAGCACACGCTCAACACCGGGGCTGCCACTTCAATGCAGGAAAAGCTTTTGACAAGCAAGACTGGCCCCGGCTGCGCAAAGTCGGCAGGCAGTGCAGGCAGGCCTGCTCAGGCAAGACTGCGTAGCGACGGCAAGGTCTCCGTATGTGCAGCATCTGGTGCAAGCGCAGATGCCTCGCAACGACTTGGACCAAACAGCGAGAAGGGCAAGCCGGGTTTTGAGAAACCTCGAGGAGGCAAGAGTGGGCCTGAGACACTATACCCCGGAGCAAAGACTGCCAACTCTAAGCGAACGCTTTGGAAAGTTGCTGCAGAAGCCCCAAGCTGTGCGAGAGCTTGTGATGACAGCAGAAATCCTGAATTGCCAACATTCAGTGGTAGTGGAAACGAGTCGGTGCATACGAGGCTCTTCAACGAAACACAGAAACCAAGAAGAGCTTCACCCACCAGTAGAAGACCGGATTCTGTTCTGACCATGCCAAACAGAAGCAGCAATGCATCCACTTAGCTAAAGGCTTTCAGAAGCATTGGGAGACCGACAGCTACCGTATCACACGACGGAGACGAGCTATCCAACCGGCCGGTGCCAAACAGCAAAAACGCAAAGCCCATTTATGCGAGAGACTGCGCGGATGATAAAAAGCCCAAGTACGTGGCATCCATCGCGAACATCAAGGCTCCAAAGCGGAAGGATGACCTTAGTGACAAGAAGACACCCAGCAGCATTCCCCCAGAAGCCGGCAGAATCATGTCTAAACGGGCAATACCCCCTGAAAGCAACACGGGATCGACTCTTGCGTGGGATCGAAGGAGCACAGGGGACTCGAAAAAAGCAAAGTCCAGAGCACTCGTCACTGGCCCAAGGTGTGCTGCCGACCGTACTGACATGGTCAGGCCTGGATGCAAGAGGTCTAGTGCCGAAGCTGCAGTTTCACATCGGGAGAAACTCTGAAGAAATGCCAGTGGGCCAGGCGAAACAAAGTCCAAGATGGTTGAGGCGAGATCCATACGTACAGCACCAACCACCAGCAAGCCAGCTTCTGGACAGTTGAGACACCGCGGAGATACTGCAGAATCTGCTCCCGCACAATCTAAAATTGCAATCGTGAAACCTGCTCTTGCAAGGCTGTGAGGTGCTGTCGGCACGTCCAGGCTGGCACAATCGAGCAGGGAAGTCAGAGCACTTGGCCACGTCATGCCCATTAGAAAGAATGCTGAGCCAAGACATGCAGAAGCCTGCACCAGCATAACACTGCCAGCATGGAACATCTCAGGCATAAAAACTGGGAGTTCTGCACAAGCCTTTCCGTAGATTGGGGATGGAAGATCAAAGCAAGAGCAGTCATGAAGTGACAGCAAGCTTTCGAGATGCAGAAAATCCGAGGCTGAGGCCGCAAGACCTGTTCTTCCGGAGCTGCGCATGGTCAGGATGAAACCCAGCAACAAGTGGTCTGCCAAAAGCAGCAACGCGTCCACTCGAACAAGTCGATGAGCAAACGCGGCAGCACTCGAACAAGCAGAGCTTTTTGAAGACAGCAGCACCCCAACGGGCGAACAATCCAACAAGACGATGGATAGTTCAGGACGTGAAAGCCCGGAAGTCGGAATCAATGACCCTAGCCTCTGCACATCCTGGAGTAGCAGCAGAGGGTCCAGCAAGCCATCATCTGAAATCGGCAACCGGAGACCCATACAGAAAGCACCGGCCACAGATGATACCAGACCTACGCAAACACAAGCCCGGGGCAACAACAAGCTCCCACACATCCCGAAGTCCATTGCGAAAAGCGGAGCTTCGGGTCTCACAAAGGATTGGACAAGAGGAGGCAAGCCCAAGGTCGCTGTGCTTAGAGGGGGCAAGAAGATACCCGAGCAAGAACTGCCGAAGGCCAAAAGTGGAAGGCCGAGACAGGCCGGCGATTGCAAAGATGACGATGAGCCGATACTTTCAGAGCTTAATGACACGGGAGCAGCCCCCGAGCGGGCAGGAGAACGAATGGACAGCGGAAGGCCCGGTTGCAGAAGATCTGAGGCCGCCGTGGCAACTTCAAGCTGAGCGGAACTACGGAGCAGCGGCGACACGCTTACATGGACGAAGTCTGAAGCTGACATGAAGGCGCCCAGCCAAGAAAGGGATCGAAGAGGTGGCGAGCTGCCTCCCAAACCAAAATCTAACGAGGAAAGGCATGACCCCGCTTGAACGAAGGATCTTGCAAGTGACATGCTGTCAAGGCAGGCAAAATCTGACGGAAGCACCAAGGACTCGCAGCGAGACGAACTGCGGAGCATCGACGGGGAGCCAAAATGAGCAAAATCAAGAACAGGAAACACACTATCCAAGCAAGCGGGGGAGCGCAAAAGCACCAAAGACTCAAATCCCACAAATCCCAAGGCAAAGACTGGCACACCCAAGCGAGCACGGCCAGCGACAGACGACACGAAGCCAGAGCGAGAATACGCTTGCGAAGACGGCAAAGGGTCGAGATGGAGGAAATCCAGCGCAAAGAGGCTGGAGTCGACACGTGCCATTGACGAGGCCATAAGTGAAATTTCCAGCCACGCAGAAGCGTGCAAAAACAAGAGACTGCCAGGATTCGCCAAATCCGGCGTTGCCAGCAAAACTTCCGAGTAGCCGAAGCTACGCGATAGCAGTAGGGCGCCCATAACGGAAAAATCCGGCACGGATGTCAAGCTTCCTGGTCGCACAATGCTCGGCAACGAAGCTGAAAAATCAGGCCGGGAAGTAGAACGGAGCAGGACGGAAAAGTCCAGCTGCAAGAAATCTATAGTTGGAGCTGCGGCTTCAAGCTAGGCACAGCTCTGCAAGGGCAGAGGCGCCCCGGGATTAACAGACCCCAGTGCCGGCAGCATCGCATCCAAGCAGCACGTGCTCCGAAGCGAAAACGACAAGCCAGCGTTTGCGAAAGAGCATGCAACCATTGCAAGGCCCAATCTAGTGGGACTGCGCATTGTTGAAATGCTCCCTGGTTTTGAAACATCTGGCACCGTGAGAAACGCACCTAAATGGCTGGAAGCATGGAAAAGTGAGAAGGCATCTGGCTGCAAGAAATCCAGAGCTGCTGCCAAGAAACCGATCCTAGCGAAGGCACGCAAGGGAAGCGCAGGGTCGAAGCTCGTCAGGTCCAAAGCAGGCAGGCACAGCTCCAAGCAGGCAAAACCTCTTGCAGAAAGCAGCGGCCCAGGACCACCGAAACTGCAGACCAGCAGAGACGTCTCAAGACAGACCGAGCCAGCAGCAGTCAAGCATAGCCCCAAGCAAGCGAACTGCCTTGCCAGGGGAGCAACTCCAGAGCGGGCGGCATCCGAGACAATCGAAGCGGAGCCGGGCCGTGCACAACTCGTGGTGGACAAGGTGCTGCCGGGATACCCAGGACTGCGAAGTGATAGTGCAAGGCCTGGGCCAACGTAATCTGAAGCAAACGTGCTCAATTCCAAATGCACAGAGCTTCGGAGAAATGTCACGCTTCCGGGCTGGATTGAATCCGATGCTGCCAAAGGCAAGCCCAGCTTGCAGATTTGGGCGACTGGGGATGATGAATCGACCTGCGCAGATGCCTGCAGCGGCAGAAGCGGCCCCGAGTGCAAGGAGTCCGAAACTAAAAGAAACACGTCGAGCCTGTGTGGACCGAGCAGCAGTGAAAAGAATCCCAATCGTGCCGAGTCTCGAAGCGGCAAGACACTCTCTGGAGTAGATACATCTGACACCAGCAACAGAAATCCTAATCGCGGCAGCCCGAACGAAGGAAATGGAGCACCTGACTTGCTAAGACCCTGCAAGGACGAAGCAGCGCCAAGGCTTTCTTTGTCAAATGCCGAAAGCAAGAGACCCAAGCAAGCAATGCCAAATGTCAACAGACATGAACCAAACCGAGCAAAGCGTTGGAGGCTCGATGAAGGCTCTAGCTTCACAGCGTCACACACCGCCGCGGCTACGCCTGGTTGGCCAAGACTGCGTGGAGAGATCGATGAGTCTGGGACGGTATGACCCGAAACAAAAGGCGGCACATCTGACTGCACAAAGCTATGGATCGGAGGAGTCAAGCAAAGCTGTGCAGCATCTGCGACCACCGCAGGAAGCTCTGATCAGGAGGAGGACTGCAGAAGCATCAGGCTTCCTAAGTGAAGGAGATCCAAAGCTGGTGTCAGCACCTCAAATCGCGCAAGGCCGCAGACAGCAACCGAGCTGCCCATCCAAGCAAGGCTCTGAACAGGAGGCGCCGTTTCTGAGCTTGCAAGATCAAGCACGGGAGGGGCCGGGTTCAAGTGGCCGGAAGCTTGCAAAGACGAAAGTAGCCCCAAGCACAAAAAGTCAAGTGCAGCTGGGGCCAGCTCGGACTAAGCAAATGATTGCGTAGATGACGAAAATCCTGGCAGGCTGTGGTCTAAGGTAAATATGAAAACATCAAAGCGACACGTGCCTGCGATACTCAGTCCGAGCCCTGTACATGCAAGACCTCTGATTGATGGCGGGGTGCCGAGAAGAGACGAGTCCAACACTGCAAGCATCAAATCCATCTGACTTGATGCGAGAGCGAGGGTCGCGGATGCCATGCAAGAGAAACTGTGCAGAAGAATTGGCAGGCCGGGCTTTGCGGAATCCAGTGCCGCAGCAGCCGGACCCGGCCTGGCAGTGCTCCTTGCCGGCGAGGGTGTGCCCGCATGGACAAAGTCAGGGACGGACAAAGACAAGTCTGAGCACATCTGGGAAGAGGCTGGCACAGGGAGATCCAGCAAACTGCAGCTTCTGGGCAGCAGAAAAAGACCGGGCTTTACAGACGACATCGCGGACGACGCGAAGCCAGACCGGCAAGGACTGTGCAGCAGCGAAGCAAACTCAGAGCCTGCAAAGTCCGGCACCGGCGACGATGTTCCCATGGCTGCCGCAGAGCATACTGACAAAGCTGAACCCGACCGTGACGAAGCATGTGCAGGCAACACGGTGCCGGCAGCCACAAAGCCACAAGCAAAAAAAGAAAGGCCAAAGTGTCCGAAACTACGCAGGATCGACAACAACCCAAGACTGGTGAGAGACATTGCCAGCGAAGGAAAGCCTGAGCGTGACATTCCAACAGCGGGCAAAAGTGTACCTGCGTGCAGCACGCTGCGAACGAGCGAGGATGAGTCCACAAGGGAGTCGTCAAGCACAATCAGAGGCAAGCCCAGACACAACCTGCCAAACAATGGCAGGCCAGAGCCGGTTCACACACAATTCCTTGGAGATGTCGGGCTTTCCGGGCTGCTGGGACTAGGGACAGATACGGCCAAGTCCGAGCGAGTATGGCTGCGCACTGGCAGCACAGCACCCAACTGGAGAGAGTCTGGCACAAATGCTGAAAGCCCAAAGCACCCGGTGCCGCAGACGGGCGACGGCAGCTCCATCTGAGCATAACTCTGAGGCGACATTGGGGCATTTGGCTCCGCAATATCCAACGCAGGCGATGGCGCACCGGCACAAAATGAGCCTGCAGGAAGCAGCAAGGGCCCGAGCTGGCACGGACTTCTCGGAAGCGGAAGCAAACCTGGGTTGGCTAAGTCAGGCACCGGTAGCAGCGAACCGAGGCACGCGATGGATACCAGCGGAAGAAACACGTCAAGATGGTGATGGCTCCGTGTCAGAAGAGATATCCCCAGATGTGCGAAGCTGAAGACAGAAGGCGGCGCTTCAAGGCGAGAGGGCCCACGTGATGACAACATGCTGCCCAAGTTCGCAAAGCCAAAAACCAAAGCCGAACTTCCCAAGCACAGGAAACCTCGGGCAAGCAAAAAGGATCCTGGCATGGCGAGGTCCGAAACAGCCGGAGATGAACCGAAGGCTGACAAACCGCAGATTGCTGGTGGAAGGCCAAGCTAACCACGGCTCCGCGAGGAAAGGAAAGCTCCTGAAGAACTGCACTCTGATGTTAACACAGCAACTTCTGGCTGCACTAAGCTCTGGGCAAGCAGGGGTAGGCCCGGTGTCACAGGGTCTGGTGCAGGTGGCATCGGACCGAAACAGCCAAGCCCGGACAACGAAACACCTGCAGCAAGCTTTGAGAGTGACTGCAAAGGCAGTAAAAACCCGGAATGAGCAGGATCAAGAACAAATATGAACAACTCCAAGCTCAGCCCACTGGAAACGATTAAAGTCGAGCCAATTCTGTTGAGACTTTGCAGAAACAGCGGAGCACCGAGATGCAGGAGGTCCGTGACGAAAGGTGGTGGACCCAAGCGACAGGAGCCAAAACTCAGCAGCGGGAACCCTGATCGACCAACTGCTCGCAGCGGCGATGACATGCCGAACTCGCCAGAGTCCGGAGCTGCAGCTGAAGCTTCCAAGCAGCTCACGCCAAATGTCACCAAAGGTGACTCAAACCTTGGTGGACTTCTTACAGGCGAAGGAAAACCAGAACCTGTCAAGTCGAGCACCACCATCGGAAAGCCTAATCTGGCCAACCTAGCTACAAGCAACAGGGCACCGAGCCTTGCTGGACTCCTCAAAAACATGAAACTCCCACAGCTGGCAGAACCCAAAGCAAGCAGAGCGAGATCGAAGCAGCCAAAACTCCGGAGCGAGGCTGCCAATCCCAAGGACGCAAATGCCGGCACCAGCAGCGGGACATCCAATCGGCCGCTGGCAAAGGTTGGGACCGCCACTCCGGCTTGCAGTTTGCTGCGCAGAGACAGGGGAAGTCCGAGGCTTGAGCTCTCTGACGCAGGCGCTGCCACGCCAAGGTGAGAGGGAGAATGCAAAGACGAAAGCACCTCCAAGTGAAGGAAGTCCATCACTGCCGACAAGCTGCCAGATAGGGCAGCAGACCTCAGCAACGAAAGAGACCCAGAGTGCGCAGGGTTCGACACTAAAGCCACCGAGTCTGCCTGGAGAAGCGCCTGCACCAGCAGGACAGCACCTAGGTCCACGGAGTCCAGCACAAAAAGCGGAGATGCAGGGCACACGAAGCCCCGAAGAGAAGGCACAAATCCCAAGCTTGCTGTGTCTGGCACGAACAAAGGGGAGCCGCACGAAGCTCTTGCACAAGCCAACATGGCGGCACCGAGTTGAAACACGCTGCGTACAGACAAAGGCGTGCCAAGACCTGTGCAATCCAACACCGATGGTGGCAGGTCAAGGCGGCAACTGCCAAAACCTGAAGGAGAGAGCTCTGTGCAAGCAACGGCCTGCAGCGGTGGAAACAAGTCCAAGTGGAGAGAGTCTGACACCAACATGGCTAATCCAAAGCATGCTGCCCCCGGAGCCGAGGGCGTCAAGCCGGGCCTAGCAGATGAGCGCAAAAGCGATTGTGGTCCTAGTTCGGCAGAATCGAGAACGGACACTGAAACATCGCAACGTAGCAATCCAAAGGCAAACGATGAGAAGGCTGGCCTTGCGGGGGCATGCAGTGCCGAAGAACTATCAAATGCTGCGGCATCCAACACAAGCAACAGCAATTCAGTGTGCAGAGGCCCAACAAGAAATGAAGGAAAGCCTGTGCGCGACAGAGACCTCGACAGCGAGGGCACTTCTGGACCTGCGAAATCCAATGCAGGCATAAGCGAATCTAGACAACTGAAGCCCCGGACAGCTGAAAGGACGCCTGGGGATGTAAAGTCCAAAGCAGGCAGGAAAGAGCTAAAGCAAACGAGACCGAGCACCAGCAGCAATAGATCCAAGCGACAAGACTGTTGCACAGCTGGCAATGGCTCAGGGTGCGCAGGATCCATGACAGACACCGCTGAGCCCAACCGTGAGGTCGCGAAGACCGAGAAACCCGATCCAAGCCTGGACACGGCTCGCGAGGACGTGAAGAAGCCCAGATGCAGAAAATCAGGCACCGGTACCGACAGCCCAAACCGTCCCTTGGCCAAAGGCAGCACAGAAGGACCCAGCCAGGCAGGGCCTCGCAAAAGTGGTAGAAAACCCAAGCACGCTGCATCTGAAACAGCCAGCAGAAGTCCAAACCTGGTGATCCCAACTAACGGAAGGAATGCCTCAAAGTGCAGGCAGCTTTTTGTAAGTATTGCGATGTCGAATTGCACCATGTCTGATACGGAGACAAAGAAGCCCAAGCAAACCGGTCCAAGGAGCGAAATGGCAAAGCCTTTGCAAGCTGGGCTGTGCAGTGGAGTTGGCGGGCCCAGAGAGGCGCAATCCGGCACCAGAGGGGGCACGCCCACTCGCACTCCTCGAAAAACCAGAAGGAGTAGCCCTAAGCATCCGACACGTTGAAGAAACAGTAAAACCCCTGGATGCAAGAAATCTGAAGCCAACATTGACATGTCTGATCTTGAGCATCCCATGAGCGGAATGCCCGCACCTGGCTGCCATGTCCCATGCAAGGACAACGAAGATTCTAAACGAGCGAAGTCAGCCGAAAAGACAGGAGCATCCGGACGTGCCAAGCCGGACACAGCTGAGAAAAAGCCCAGCTGGCCAAGGGTCCTCAGAAGTGGAGCTGGCCCGGGCTTTGCAAAATCCAGTGCGAGGATGGCTGGATCGAGCCACGACGCACTTTGCAAAAGCAAGGAAGATCCCAGGAGGGTGCCATCAGTGACCAGCAGCATGGAGACTGGGCCGAGACGGTTTAGACCAAGCACAAATGGCAGCGCTTCCACTTGGCAGTGTGTCCTCAAAGCTAGGGAGCTTCCAAACAGGCTGGAATCAAAGGCGAGCGTCAAGAAGCCCAGGCGAGCAAGACTTCGCGGCGACGTTGGAAAGCCCAAGAAAGCCGTATCAGTTGCCAGCAAGGAGGATACGGAACCCAAACGAGCCAGGCCAAACGCAGCAAGGCCGGAACCCAGCCAGGAGAGGCTTCGCATCAAGGCACTGCTTCCCATCATCGCGAAATCCAGGACCAATAACACAAGATCCAATCATCCACGGCTGCGCAGCGGCAGGCTTGCATCAACACCTAAAGAATTCAGAGCCGGCAGGGGTACTTCTGGCCTGCAGCAGCCAAACGTAGGGGTTGCAGCTTCGATATGCAAGAAGCTCTTTGCAAACGATACGAGCTCGAAACAAGAAGAATCTGATGCAGTCGGCAACGTCCCTGAACAGGCAGCACCAGAGGGCAGCAGCACGAAGCCAGCACATGAACGACTGCGCGTGGACAAAAACACATCTGGCTTCGCAAGGTCTGAAACAGAGAGCAAGGATCCCAGTCTGAGGTGGCTCTGCAGCAACATCGCAGATCCAAGCCGAGATGCTTCTGATACAGAGAGGGCGAACACAAACCCAGCTCTTGTCAAGCCAGATGATGCAGCTGCAGCGCCCAGTCAAGCATGGCTTTGCGTCAGCATGAAAATGTCCGGCTCTCCAAAGTCAAGGACGGAGGCTGCGGAACCTGGCTTGGCAAAACTGCGGAGGAATAGAAGAAATCCCGGTCGCGAACCCTCGATTACCAGCAGCATGGAGACCGATCCTGGGCGGCCTAGGCCCGAAACAAACACAAAAGGGTCCGAATGAGCGTGCGAGTGCGGAAATGAGGAGCTGCCCGAGTGGCCCAAATCCAAAGCCACCAAAACCAACTCCAATTTGCAGAAGCTCCGGAGCGAGAGCGACAGATCCACGCTGGACAAGTCTGACACCAAAACCGCTAAGCCCAAGCACGTAAGAGACCGCAATAACAATGTGGTGCCGAGATGAGCGGCATCCATAAGAAGCACCGGCAAGTCCAACCGAAACCTCCCGGAAGCAAAGAACGAGGATTCAAACTGGCTGGAACTTCTAGGCGGTGATGGCATGCCTGTTGCTGCAAAGGACGGAGCGAGCACCGCTAAGTCAAGCTGCGAGATGCCACGCGGCATCAGCAAAACATCAGGATGAGCATAATCTAATACAGACAGCAACACACCCAGTCATGTCACCCCTGTCATCGAAGAAGTCATCTCTAGACGAACGAAGCTTCGCAGAAACAAGAAAACTCCTGAGCTCACAGAACTCAGAACCGAAAGTACCAGCCCAGCATGAGCGATGCGCCGGAGCAGCAGCGAAACGTCGAGCTGCAGGGAGTCCGATGCCAACATGCATGGCCCGGAACGCGAGCATCCCAGAACGGAGAAAGCCGACTCCAAGCAATACATGCCTTGGAGGAAAAGCAAAGCATCTGGCTGCAGGAATGCCATTGCCAGGGCTGTGGCACCCGGATGTGCGCATGACCGCACTGTCACCAAGGCTCCCATGAAGGTAAAGTCAAGAGCTAATGACAACATATCAAGGATACCTTGCGAGAACACTGTCAGCAGAAAGCCTGTCCGGGAAGCACCGTGCAGCAACAGTGGCAGCTCCGAGCTTGCCGGATTGTGGGTGGAGGGCGCCGAAGACAAACACGCAAGACTTCTCGACAATAAAGCGCTGCCAAGATCTACGAGATCCAGCACCAGCAGGGCGAACCCCAGCTTGGTACAGCCACAAGCTGGAAACGCCAGGCCCGAACAAGCAGATTGCCGAGGGAACAAAAGCATTCCAACATGCAAAAAGCTCAACACAAGCACACCAAAACCAAGCCAGCTAAAGCTTCGGAGCGGCGGTGCACTGCCCAGTTCCGTGCAGTCCAGCACTGGAAGAAAGGGACTAAGTCAAGCGATACCAACCAGTGGAATGGTTGCAGCTGCACGAAAAAAGCTTTTCAATGTAACAAATGCACCCACGGCAGCCCTGCTGCAGATTGAAACCGCAGATTCCGTCCTGGTGAATCCATGCACTGACAAGGCTGCACCTGGAAAAACAAAATCTGAGACAAGAGAGCTCAACTCTGGCCAGGTGAAACCAAAAACAAGCGACGTGGAGGCCGAGCGAGAGATGCCGTGCGGCGCCGAGGTCAACCCGGGACTGCCACAATCTGAAACAAAAGCCGCAAAGCCTGAGTAGTTCATGCTACGCGCAATCAACACTGGGCCCGAATTCAAGAGGTCCAAGACCGCTGCTGATACCCCCAGACATGCATTGCCAGGGACAGGAAGGAGCACGCCCAGGCTTGAATAGCTATGCAACAATGATGCAAATCCAGTTCTTGTGGCATCTGTTGCCATCAATGCAAACCCGAGGTTCACCCTACCAAACACAAACAAAGTGGACCCATACTGTGCAAGGCTTCTGGCAGGTACGAAGCTTCCGAAGTTGAAATGCGCATTTGAGAATATCAGCTGGCCGCTGGTGACATGTGTGGAAACTTGCAGGTGATGGTCATTTGTTGTGGCGAAAGTCCACTTTGGGCTTCCGCGGAAGCTGAAAATCAATGATGGTCGCACGTAATCTCCACTTGCAGGAGCAGGGTTCAACTCCAGCGGCGCAGTGAGCATAAAGTTGCCGTCTTTCCTCAGCTGCTGGCAACAACGGTTTTCAGCACACCTTGCGGCAGTGCGCATGCCATCGAAGCCTCGAAGCCTAAAGCATTGAAGAGGCTTGTGCCCCTAACACCTGAACCTAATTTGTGGTGGCAACAGCCAAGCCTCTTTTGCACCCCTTTGCAATTGGTCACGGGGAGCACAACGGCAGCTGATGTGCAGCATCCGTGTTGCAAACCTTTCTGACGACCCCACGAGTCAGCCCTAATGCCCTATGTACGTTTGCAATAAAGAGAGTTTCAAGATACCGCAAACAAACAGGTAAGCAGTTGAAAATTACCAAGTGTACCCCATGCCTTCCTCGAACGGAATCACATACATACAAACAAACACAACCGTGAATGTAATCGCAGTGTGCGTTTCCAGTCCTTCGATCTTCTTGCTTGCTGCTGTGAGTCTTCATCATGAGCCACGCCCTGGCCTCGATGCACAGCGAACCTCGCGTCTTTGAAGCATACCGATTAGGCCTTTCTTCTAAAAGTAACTCTTAACAGGGTTTAGAGGCCGTAACACGTAACAGCTGTCGTTGCCATAAAATAACAGGTATCTCGGTCGTGGAATAGCAATTAATTCTGTCAGAAAAAACATGTATATCGAACAAAGCAAAAAGTGTCCAAGCCATATAATAACAGTCTTCCCACCATAAACTAAGGCTCCCAAGAGTGCCAAAAAGGTCTCCAGCGGTATAGCTAAAATAATTCATATTTCCCACGTGAATCCCTCTCCGAAACCCTCCCACCGCCACTTCGAGGGCCCTCGAAGCCTCTCCGAGGCCCAGATCCTTTCATGTACCCCAGAGCCCCCATCAAGCTTCGCAGCAAGCCACCTCAAGCCTAGAGATAATTCAAATCGTCCTGAGTCTTGGGTTGATGCAATAATATGTTCGAGAATAGGAATAAACCTGAACCAGCCTGCTATTCTATACCACCAGTACCTGTTACTTTATGCTACCGATAACTTTAATTTCTCCCGCCGATAACTGTTACTTCATCCCACCGACAACTGCTATTTATCCCATCGATAACTGTTGTTTGACCACCGGTAACTTTACCACCAATGGCTGTTATTTTATCCCGCCGATATCAGGTATTTGAAATTATTTCACCACTATAACTGTTGTTTTATCTGCGGATACGAAACCCAACGGATTAGGGACATATCTCCTAAAGAAGGGGGTTCAGTTACTGTTAGAGGTAATCCCTAACACACCGACGTTTGGAGGCACAAACCTGCAGATGTCGTGAACAAGAACAAGCTGGACTGGCATTCTTTGTGCTGAGCGCTTTATTGTTGCGCTGTCGGGAAATGGCTGCCAGCCCGCTTACTGGGCAGGTTTCTGACTTGTCCAATCATTATATACCAAAAAGGTGAGCAAACAAGCCTGTAGTACCGTGCTGCACTGTGCGGAATCTGAACTCGTACGTAGTGCAGCTAACTCAACTCGTGATGCAGCGATCAAGCATTCGTCGCCCATGGCAGAAGCATGCATATGTCAGATAAGCGACACAAAATGAGGATAATGAAGTGGACGGACATCGCTATGGACCTGCTGCTGCGGTGCCAACAAAAGATCGCCTGCAGAATACACGTGCCACCAAGGCACTGCGACGTCGCCGCAACGCATGCCTTCTCAAACCTGCAGTTGGGGGCAAAGTGCTATTCAATTCAGAAAATTCAACTACCTTGGCACCGGACTCCTCTGCTTGGCGCCTTCGGTTTCGAAGATGGGTCCGAATATTTCGTCATTGATGACGTGATTGTAGGACCCCACACTGGGCCCGACACCATGCGGGTGGGCATCATCTCTGCCCCGAGCATGGCATCAGGACAGTACCCATATGAAGGCAACCAGGGTTGCCTTGAACCAAATTTAGACGCCGTTTCCACAAGCGAACACAACACATCCGTAGGATTGCAAGGCCTAACGACCGTGATGATGATGATGAGGGTGATGATGACGATCATCGACATGGTGATGTTGATGAGTCTCATGTCACACCCGATTTGAATGCAAGCGGGTCGAACCATCGGTTGCTATCCCCGCAAAGTCCTACACAAATTTCAACAACACACTGAAACAACGTACAAGACAATGACCTACACAAGGAGCACAGCGAAGTAAATATTAGCCACAAAGGTATATACGGGCCTGTTTGCATCTGCGTCTTCGGGGTCAGCATCTGCCTATACGTTGGGCATCGTTGGGCCATCAGGACCGCGTAACATATTTTGGCGCTAACTTGCGTTTATCTTCCTGCTGCTCCTATACTTCATCAACAACAAAATGATCGATACATCCGTCGTTTATGAACATGATCCGGCAAAGAACATATTTCGAGGACACTCTGCTCACTTTGCTAAAGTTGGCTCTCCATCCCAGAGCGAGTCTCGAGAATTCTGCTTTCGACATTCCAAAGACGGGATTTATGTCTTGTGCGTGTATATTGCGATGCAATGGCAATACGCGACGAACGTCTGCAGGATTTTACAGGCCTTGCTGATTCGGCCAGTCAATGCGAAGCGTCCATGGACAAATGTTGTGTGTCGAAAATCTTTTTGCATCCTGCAGCACGGAAGACACGCAGGTTGTGGCAAACGATCGTGTTCACAAGTTGATCCCAAACCTTGAAGCCCCCAAACCGTGAGGCCCACGCCCTTGCAATAGTGAGCGAAATCTTGGGACCCATACACGTTTTTAGATGTTTTTAGGCGATTGCGGTTGATCCGACTTTTTCGTCTTGCGCCAGCATTCGGCAGTGTCGGTTGATCCCATATCTCTGTTGCTGTCCCTTTCTGTTTTACTCTTTCTTTCGCATGGGCGAAGGACAAGGGAACTCATTTATCTTTTCCTTTTTTTCTTGACTGGGCCCATGTGATTTCCTGAAGCTCCCATTTCTTAAACTCGCCCCTTCATCGTGCGATGGCGCGGCGGTTGATTCCAATCTCCCCGTGGTGATGATTCCAGGCGCGCCTGCACATTTGTGCGCAAACCGTTAGATCTAACCTTCCCCCTCCTACACACCCTTCTACCACCTTCCAATTATTATTAGAAACATTCCCAATGCAAACCCAAGGCCGGGCCGACCACGGCGCACGAAGAACCTGCGGCTTGCCAGGGGCAGCTCAACGGAGGAGTCTGCGACATATGCGACATTGGGCCGTGCGGCCAGGGGGCAAGCAGAGAAGGCCCACGCCTTCGCAATCCCGAGAGAAAGCAAGGCTGACCAGCGAAACGTAAAAGCCAACATGCTCGGCCCGCAGGAGGAAGCAGAAAGCGCCCGCAGTGGCAGTTTCAGTGCTCCAGCGGCCAC